ATCCCTTAGCACTGTAAAATTCTTTACTGATACACTCAGAATTTGATTTCTTGTGATGAGAGAACCCAGTAATTTCAAAGACCATTTTTTTATCATTTGGAGGAGGAGATATAACAGCACTGATTCGAACTAGTGGAGACAAAATTAAAATAATAAAAAAATTTTACATTAATTTACTGGTATGCATAATAATAATTTTATGTGACATTTATTACTATTATTAAAGCTAGAGCATCATGTTTTTGTCTATTGAATGCAATCAAAGCAGTCATTTGCAATTTGAAATGAAAACCATTGGATCAATCTATCACTTGGTCACAATTTTGAAAGTTTCTATAGTAATACTTTACACAATACACATACTATTAATTTCTATGTCTAACCTAGTGATTCCACATTAACAGACTTGACACGGATAACTATGCTGTTGTCTTCTAAATATTCGGTAAATGGTTCTTGAACAGCTTCAGCAAAAGAAATTCCTTCTCCAACAATAGATGATGCCATTCCTGCTTCAATTGGAACGCCATTCCAGATTCTACCACAAAACTTGTCATCATCAAAAACAATTTCAGCTAAATAATGAAAAGTTCTTGTTTTTCGATGTAGTATTTCTGTCATCAGGGTACCACGAAACGGCCACTGAAGATTATCATCGTAGTCTCCAACCATTAAATGAGCGTGTAAATTTGAAGACTTTTTCTTATCATCATATCGAATGCAAAGACACATTTTGTAGCCATTGGTGTGGGTGTAAAATGCTCGGCTATACCAATCTTCATCTAACTTGTTGTATTTACCGAATGACATCATTATGACATCAACTGGAGGAGTGTACATAGCATCATCTAAAAAGTTTAGAGTAGGTATCCTATAATTGGCTACTAGTGATGTGTGTATGAATAAAAAATAAAAATAAAGCAGTATTTTCGTTGTAGTTTTGAAATTTATCATTGATACCTTCAGTCTGATATGCCCTTGTCATTACTATAAGAAATGAAGTTATCAATAAAGATAAAGTTGATAGCTCTAACTTTCTTTCTCTGCCAACTTCTCTTTGAGAGATATCAGTTCCAAACCATCAGCTATCATTGCGATAATAAAATAATGAAAATAACAATTAATTACCTGAAATTTTAGCATCTTTATTTTTCATTTCTTCAGTATTATCTAAATGTAATAATTATATTTGCATCAAATTTTCATAATCTTGCCTTTCAATGTTTCTGTTAATTCTGATGTTTCCTTCATTTTCTTAGCAATTAAGAAATCCTTTTCTTGAATTTCTTGCTTCATTTTTTCTATTGTCGTATGTAAAGGTGATGTTTCCTTCTTTTTCTTAGCAATTAAGAAATCCTTTTCTTGAATTTCTTGCTTCATTTTTTCTATTGTCGTATGTAAAGGTGATGTTTCCTTCTTTTTCTTAGCAATTAAGAAATCCTTTTCTTGAATTTCTTGCTTCATTTTTTCTATTGTCGTATCTAAAAGTGTTTGAGACCAAATACTTTCAAAAATGGTCTCACATGATAAAATAAATAGATTTATGTTATACACATAATTATATGCATTTAACTATTGGGTCTTTCACCTCTTCTGTAGCAATTTCATTCTCTATTTGATTGTAAACCGTTAGGACAGCTATACATATAATCTTGGTTTCCCTCAAAGCATGCTAAGTGAGCTAAATGCTACTTTATGAGCTCTGACAAGCACCACAAAAAAGTACATGGCATTTGGAGCGACTTCAAAATTGTAAAAAATCCAAATTTGATCGGAATTAGCTCAAACTTTCTACACAACGTAATATGCAAATACGCAATACGTAGTATGCATCAAATAAATTATAATTCTTTCCTCA